CCGCAGGGGTTTTAGTCGGTAAAAGTCTGACATAACCCCCGCTCTCCCCAAAAAGGCGAGGGTATCCATGAGGATTTCCCCTGCGTGACCAAATAAAAAAAAAAGGCAAGATCTTGATCCAGCCAGTGAAATTGATTGGCTTTTTTTGAATGCATCGACTATTTTTCTGAGAACGTTGGCTGGTATATTTCTACACGCCCGTCTAATCCTTTAGATCTTCAGCTATGGTAGGTGTGATCTTGTAAACAGTATTTCTTATATTTCATTATAATATCATTACCAATAATAGTAAGAATTATTTCATAAGGATAAATAAATATTTTAATTTTGGTTTGACGGAGGGTGCAATCCCATTTTATTTCGTATATTTCACTTAATCAGGAGCTTTTTGATAATGATAAAGTTCTTTGTATTGCATTCTGCAGATGGGCTGTAGCTCAAATTCAGCTCGATCCCACATTTTTTCTCGTATTATGTATATTATTTCAAATATTGCACAATTATGTGATAATTAAATCATTAAACTTAAAGAATAATTTACTGATCAAGCGCATACATAGGAGTATACATATTTGTAACAGTGATTAAAAGTAAAATACTTGAATTAACGTCTTTTCAGAGCTCTCTTTTTATTTTTTTATAATAGAAAATACAAACAACTTATTTAAAATTCAAATTGTGTGATATACTCACGTCACAGTCTACATTATTATTGCTTATGCACGTTAGCCTTTCAATACGTACTTTCCTTACATGTTTGGATTATTGCGAGGAATATTGCTATAGCCTCAATGATCAAGTTGGTTAAGAAAATAAATCATTGAGGCTATAGCAATATTCCTCGTAATAATCGAAACATGTAAGGAAAGTACTTATTGAAAAGCTAACGTGCATAAGCAATAATAAATAAATGTAGACCATGACGTGAGTATATCATACAATTTGAATTTTAAATAAGTTCTTTGTATTTTCTATTATAAAGAAATAAAAAGAGAGCTCTTAAAAGGCGTTAATTCAAATTCAAAAGTTTCAATTCAAAATTCTAAATCTAATTCAAATTCAAAAATTCAAAATTTTATTTTTAATCACTGTTACAAATATGTATACTCCTATGTATACGCTTGATCAGTAAATTTGACTGTCTTTATTTTCAGATAATGTTGTGCAATCAGTCAATATTTTATTCATTTATTACGTGAGAAATAAAGGCATTACTAATTTTATTAATTTTTCATTATTTAAGCAATACAAATACGAAAGCAGGTCAAATCCCGGTATTGTTCATAATTGATTCTTATTATTTAAAATTGTCTTAAGCACAGTGTTAAAATGTCGTAAACTAATCGCAACAGAACCGTATGAGCATCTTAAAAGACACTGCTTATGATTACTAATCGCGGAGGTACACGCAAGTAAGGCACGCGCGTCGGCCCTGAGTGCTATATAGACAAAAGCGCTTATTCGTTAAATTTAACATACTCTCCTGCAAAAACTACTTGTCGGACGCAATTTTGCTAAAGAAAAAAGTTGTTTGTTTTAGCATTGAGTGTCATGTCCTGTACTCCGAATGCGGGAATTTCGGATCACCCAGTATATATATATTTTATATATGTATATATACGCATACATACATACATATATAACGCATAAACATATTTATTTTAAAGTGATTATTAAACGAGGAAACAATTTTAATGATAATGTGACGCCCCAACTGATTTCTTATACAGCGACAGTGCACCGCGATCGTCGCCCCGTCCGCTGAGCGCGGACAGCAGTGCGAGGGGGACGGTAGGCGTCATCTACTGAATTTCGTCCGAAATATGTAGATTGTGTCCAGCTCTGATGTAGACAATCAGCATCGGTGATAGTATGATGTGGTATTTTAGATAGTCATATTGTTGGACTCCACTTTTTTGATAACAATGTTACAGGGGAGTCATATTTATATATGCTACGAGATGTATTGCCAAAGATGTTAGAGTTTGTTGATAAAAATACAGTCCAACGTATGTGGTTGTAACAGGACGGTGCACTACCACATTACGCACGCTCTGTAGGGATTTTTTAAATTTAACTTAACCGCACCGTTGGATTGTACGAGATGGTCATGTGATTGGAGCATGGCCACCCAGATCACGAGATTTTTTCTTATAGAGCTATTTAAAAATACTGTTTACCAGACAGCACCTACCACAGCTGAAGACTTAAAGGACCGCATTAGACGGGCGTGCAGAAGTATACCAGCCAACGTTCTCAGAAAAACAGTCGATGCATTCAAAAAACAATTGCAATTATGTATCCAACAGTATGGTGGTACATTTAAACATTTGCTGTAGATAAAAAATATATATACATTTAATGTGACTTCGATGTGATCCTATAAAGTCAATCAGTATTAGCTTCACTGACTGGATCAGGATCTTGCCTTCACTGGCCGGATCAATCTTGGGTCTTGCCTTCACTGACCGGTGCTGCATCTTGGCTAATGCCGACGGAATTGTAACTTTCAAGCCTCGTAACTCGAAAAGTACTGGTTAAAAAGAGGCTTCATTATAGTGTTTTGGAAAGGTAGACTACAAGAATATGCAAAGATAGGGGATTCTATTTAAGAAAATGAAGTGTAATTCCATGTGACCTTGGCACGTTCACTTAAGGTCAAACCAATGACACCATCTTATGTCCCCGTTCGAACCACACAACTTTTGTCTGAAACGTTTTTCCGTATCTATCATATTTTTCGACATATTTGTCTGGGGCGATTAAAACTAAACACTCTGTATATACATACATATGTATATAAGATGGTTTAAAAGTTTTGAAACGGCTATTTATCTCTGAAAGTAGCGGTCCTGTGAGAAAATGTTTCAAACGAAAGTTGTAGGATTTTAAGTAACGCATTAGCATAGCAATATTATTATGACCTTGAAGAGTGTTGTCAAGGTCACATAAAAATCACTTTAAATTTTTTAATTGACAACACTCTTGAAGGTCGTAATAATATTGCTGTGTAATGCGTTACTTATAACCTTACAACTTTTGTCTGAAACATTTTCCTACAGGATCGCTATTTTCAGAGATAATTAGTCGTTTCCAGATTTTTAAACCACCCTATATATGTGTATGCATGTATCTATATACAGGGTCTCTCATAGCTAATGTTGCAGAGCTCATGGAGATATAGAGCGGTTTAAAACAAATATAAAAGTCCCATACCGTTTCGCAAGATTCACAATAATTATCGAATTGTTAATGATAAAAATTTGAGGAGTGGGAGCGCGCCAACATGATGATTGGAGAAGCGTGCAGCCATTTCAATAAGACTGCGGCCCAGTCGATCCAGCAACTGTTGCCGGTGCGCGGCGAGGGGAAGGACAACGCGCCGCTATTCGTGTTTTATTCCACCGCACTTACGTCTTACTTCATGCCGTCCATAGTTGCTAGGTCGACTAGCCCGCGCTGTGGCCCGAGAGGCTGCGACGCTTCTCCAATCATCTATTTCGGCGCGCGCTCACTCGTCAGATTTCTGTCATTAATAATTCGACAATTATTGCGAATCTCATAAAACAGTATGGGACTTTTATGTTTGTCTTAACCCGCTCTATGTCTCCACGAGCTCTACAACATTTGTTATGAGACAACCTGTATATAATTATAATATTTCTTGCCAATTCTTGTAATGACTTCCATAAAAAAAACCTTTTTCCTTGCGCATTATTCATTGAATATTATTTTACTGACTTTAGTTGCGACATATTTTTTTTCCTTATGGAAATGTGTAATTATATGAATTTTTTTATGATGAATCCATTTTTCTTTCCATTAAAGAAGAAATTAAAAATCACTAATTAATTATTTTTTCGTAATTGCTAAACAATTCTTTACTATATAAACAAAAAGTTGTAATAAACATATACAAAATGTCTAATACATAATTCATTTCATATATAGATAAAATTTATTAAACTGAATAAAAATGATATAGTGAGACAAATTGATTAAATAAAATCTCACTAAGGGGGTCTAAATTTATTAATTCTTATCTCTTAATATTTATGTATTATACTCAAATCTATTAATTTTTTGGCAATGGCAGATGATACATAATGGTACAAGATGCTAGTGATGAGTGAAGGCTAGTGATGAGTGAAGGCTAGGAGTGAAGTGACACTCCGGTATTACGCATCATATGTCGTAATGAAGAAGTTATTAACAGATTCATTGCACAAAACTTTGTGCAAAAGTGCTTGTTCCACCATATTGCATACATTCATTTGTTAATTTTCTTTAATTAATATTTCAGTAATTATTGTAGTTGTTTGTAAAATAGTAAAAAACCTTTTTTTTTGTTTTTTTCAAATTCTACATAGACACTATCAGATGTGTTGTAACATAATTTATATACAGGGTGATCCGAAATTCCTGTATTCGGAATACAGGACATGATATTTTATGTTAAAACAAACAACTTTTTCCTTTAGCAAAATTGCGTCCGACAATTAGTTTTTGCAGAAGAGCGTGTTAAAGTTAACGAATAATAGCTCTTGTCTATGTAACGCTCAGGACCGGCTCGCGCGTTTCACTCGCGTGTACCTAGTCAGTGACTAGTATTCATAAGTAATGTCTTTTAAGACGCTTATACGGCTCTGTTGTGATTAATTTACGACATCTTAAGATTGTACTTAAGAAAGACAATCTTCTATCTAGGTACACGCGAGTGAGGCGCGCGCATCAGCCCTGAGCGCTACATAGGCAAGAGCGCTTATTCATTAACTTTAATACGTTCTCTTGCAAAATCTACTTGTCGGACGCAATTTTGCTAAAGGGAAAAGTTATTTATTTTAGCATAAAGTACCATGTCCTATACTCAGAATACGGGAATTTCGGATGACCCTGTATACATTCGGTAGATGTACTTACATATATTTTCGGTATATGTAAATTCACATATACATCTTGTATTTGTAAGTATGTGAAATTAAAGTTATGATTATACTTACTTTCAAAAGAATAGTATGTAGTAGTATGTGGTGGATGTATATATTGTCCTTGAACTGGCTGAGCACTAGTGGTAACCGTGCTATTGTTTGTACCAGCAGTCGACACACGTAAGCTAGCTTGTTGCGGCGATTTAATCTGTACAGTTTGTCCAATGTTCTGGGACTGTGCAGCCTTGACAGGTGCCGTCGTGGCCCTCACCGGTACCAGCGGCAAAGGATGTAAAGACATACCCGTGATTCTTGCAACTGTAGTCGGGACTGTTTGCAATATGCGCGTCGTGCTTGACGTGTTTGTGGTCGTAGTAATCACTTGTGACATTGTGCTGAGATTTGACAAAGATGTAACAGTTTGAACAACGCGCGGTGTACCTTGTTGCTGTTGGACCTGTTAATATCAATTAAAATAATTCATATCTCATCTTTTCTACAAATTTCTATGGAATCTGTAGAAAATTAATAATTTTTGTAGATCTGTATAATAATTTTTGTAAATCTGTAGATTTTCTACAGATTTAAATCTAAGAGAAATCATACATATGTATTTATATCGCATGTACACACATATACGTATGTGTGTGTGGGTGCGCGTGCACGGTACATATATATAGATCACATATATATGTATATACTTTTACTAACCTGTTGCGAAGGAATAACAATGTGACTAACTGTCCCAGTGGACGGTCCAGCCACTGTATTAATTGATAATTGTCGAGGCTCGACTGTAACTGCAGACGTACCACTTATTCTGTTTGTTGTTTCTACAACAGGTGTAGATACAGTTACACGTTTTGTAGCACATGCTGTAGTTAGTAGAGGTCTGCTGGACTGGCTGGTTGGCTAAATATTTTGCAATATACAAATTTAGAAATTAATAATTTATTATGTATATGTAAACATACTTTATACATTTAAATAGCATCCTGTAATTTTGATGAATTGCACTTCTAAATAATTATTTATTTACCTGAATGGTCTGTGTCGATGATCTTCCTGATTGTGAAGTCTGCGTCACCGTTACCACTTGTGGCGTCGGTGGTCTATTTTGTATAAGTGGAAGTCTAGTAGTAATGCTATTATTTGTTTGCAGAATAGGTGTTATTAATCTGGACGGACTACCAGTAATGGTAGCTTGAACGGATCTGCCTTGACTAGTTGGTGTAATTAGCCGCGGTTGTTGTGCTGTGTATACGGATGATGGTCTGGACCCTCTGTTGACCGGAGGTGTAGGATGTCTTTGTGATTGCGCATATACAACTGATGTTGTTTTCGGTTGCCATTGAGGATTAGAGATTGTTGTATTACTGTGAAATTGAAAAAAATATATTTTAGATATTATATATTATTGTGTAATGGAAAAATAATATATTCGATAATCTTTCTAACACAAATCTTTCATAGAAACTTTTCCTTCTTTCTTATTATATTTTTTTTCTTATACTTTGTATTGTATTGTTACTATGTAATTTGTTTATTATATTATGTAATTTGATACTTAATAATCCTTCATTACTCAGACGCTTTATATATATGTATGACGCGAATGTACGTACGCACTTACACACATGCACACAAACAAAAAATAAATAAAAACAAACAAATATACCACGGTCTAGTAGTAGATACAGTCTGCCCTGTATTTGCTCTAACGATGGGAGTAGCAACTGTTGATCTAGGTGCAGAAATATTAGCAACTGCTGCAGGTCCTCTTGGTACATGATACGTTGCGGGCATATTAACTTGTGATAATTGTGATTGTGATTGATTTTGTCTCTCTACAGTATTTAACATTCCTGGGGATATTATTCGTACTGTGGATCCTACAGGACATAACTAGAAACAATAAAGTACTATTAGTATTGATAAACTTACTACAAGATGCATAGTCATTAAAATATTATGTCAATAATTTTATATTTATTATATATTAAGTAAGACATGTATTAAGTAATATATGTTTATAACAAGTATATAATATATTATTTATAATGACACACACACACACACACACACTCGGGCGCGCGCATACACACACGTACACTTGATGAGAATCCTCAAATAAAAAGAGGATTTATAAAATATCATATATTAAATAAATGTAACGGTTTTAAATCGGTAAACTTATGTTGAGTTAGACTAAGCATATTCTGGATAAACTTTCTAGGACTTAAATTTTTCATGTATGGGGGTTTTTAGTACTAACTTAAGACTATTCTTCTATTGACTCCTGCAGCTTTTATTTCTTTGCTTCGAAGGATGATCTTCCCATAAATTACAGATTTTTCTATCTTTCTAAATATATGTAAAAGGATCTTTTTAAATATATGTAAAAGGATTATATTTGATTTTATATAAATATCAGAAATTCTATAAAACATTAGAAATATTGTGTATTTAATATATATGAATATACATGAATAATATATATAAACTTCTTATAATAAAGAAACTACCTCAACTATAATGTTTTTGGGTTATTATTACATTTGTGCGAACTAAAATCAATTTGACAATTTGTAGTTATATATACGTTTATATAAAGAGTATAACACCTATTAAATAATCTTTGCTATTCTGATATTTTCAGTTTCCACGGTGTAAAAAAGTATTTGGATTCATTCTCAGGTTTATATATGTATATATTTGCATGCTGTGTTGCATCTATTTTGGATTTATTTTCGACGTTTTGTTTCATTCGATTCAAGAAACATCACAAACAGATCCAAGATGGATGCAACGCATATAGACATATCATGCATCACGCACATATACCATATCTAGAAATTAAATCAAATGGCTTTGTAGTTATGTGTAGTTATATGTACAATTTTATTATAATTATAGTATATTGTAACATTATGTTTATATTATATTCTCCCCCACATATATATATATGTAACATCAGTAATGAAAATATCGAGTATTATCAATTAGTTTTTTGCTCATACATAAACATATTGGGTGAATGTAAAAGTTTGATAGGTTTTTCAAAAATGTTACCAATTCAGTTTTATAGTAGCACTTACAAATATATGAACGTATAAAATAACAGAAAACAATGGTTATTTGATAAAATGAAAAGAAATTGTTTTTAATAAAATTACTTAGTCCATATATTTTGCTGTCGTAAAATTTATCTAAAATTTTGGCATTTAGTTAGTAAATTGTTATTTGCATAGATGTTACTAAATGTTTTAAATTGCTATGTCAGTATATAAATGTTTAATGTGTTCCTATATCTTTAATCAAAATATTAAAGTTAGAACTTTGGAAGTCCTTATATCAGAGCATTGAGTTTATAAAACCTTCTTTTCACAAAAAATGATTAAGAATTGAAATTACGAAAGGTAAAATAATAAAATACATAAAGTAGATGCCAAGGTAAGGATAAAATTAGTTTAACAAATTCTAAATTCCTATATCATGTTTGTCTTAGATCGGAGAATAATGATATACAAAAATAAACATATTAATGAACATTATAAAATAGAAAACTGTTTACTACTCTAGACATCTTAAAAGTAATTTATGTATCAATAGCTTATTTATACATTTTCTTGAAACTGAGATTCAAGAAAATACATGTCATGATAAAATTTAGAAAAGGTAGAAGCAATATTAAGTTTATTTTCTTCCAAGGACCTTCTGAACTAGTGCGATAAGTTAGAGCAAAATATATTTTTTTTTGTTTTAGCTTATTGCACTAATGTGCACTAGTTCAAAAGTTCTTCAAAAAATAGACTCATTATATCTCTGTTAAATTTGATCTATTGACTGTTCCAAATTTGTGAGTTAAGAAAAAAATCACTATCCATAAAAACAAAAATCAATTTTTTGAATAAGTTATTGACATAATAAGAATGAATTAGATACAGTTTTGTAAGCTAAGTGGATGTCATGTATTTATCACATTATGTAAAACAACCTTTGTATAGAGAATTTTCATATTACTTATATGTTGTAATTCTTTAAATTTTGTTTAATCACAAGTATAATAAATTGTGAATATATTATAAATAAGTGTCACAAGTTATAAAACAACTTTGAATTTTAAACAATACAAAATATGAAGTAAACTTCGGTAAATCTATTACTAGTTGAAATATATTTACAAATATATTATTATTCATTACCAATGTTCATCAAATAATTTTAAGATATTACCGTAGTTGTCATTTTACTGGTTTCTGTAGATGAAGGAGTACCAGATGGCACTATAGGCTTCATTAAGGACAACTTGGGATTCATGTCTAGCGACACTGACTTGCCAATAAGATTAGGTGTTCCTACTGATCCAACAATAGTCTGAGTTGGTTGAATAGTTTGAATACTGCTCTGAACTGAACTTTGTACATTCTGTACATTTGATACATTTTGCATTGTAGTTAAATTTTGTGCTACAGTTTGCACAGTTGTTTCCAGTAAACATTTATCACTGCTACTGTTTACAGAGCTCAGTGCTGTATTCATAGTTTTACTGTTAAAACAGATAAAAGAATTAATTATTGTAAAAGTTAACATTTATTATAGAAATATTTTTTCCAAATTATGCCAGAATACTTTGACAGTTTACGTAAATAATAGGGTACGAATAACGAGCAATACCAAATTTACCGCGTTTGTCGTGCGGCATATCAGAATTACGTTACTTACGATATGTATCATAAAAATTAAATAGTTTTAGAGGTTACGCCGCCTTGTTACCGCCCGGTTAAAAAATTCGCTATTGATAGATATTACGTAGCTGCCTCGTTGTTGATATTGCACATTCTCGAATGGACAGACGAATTGTACGTAGCAGTAATTTTGCTTATGTTTATGATATAACAGCAGTCAGCATATCATCAGCAAATTGTCGCTCGTACAAAGATGTTGCATATTTATGTAAAAGTACAGGATCAAACACATTTATCTATTCACTCACTCGTGCACAAAACTGTCATGGATATTAAAATTTATTCGATGTTATATCACAAAAACATGTATGTTTCAAATCCTGTGGAACTCAGCATCGCTACAAAAGTTTATAGCGCCTAACATAAGCGTTAAGATGAATATACATTAAACTAACGACAGAAGGTTTGTTCGTTTTATTTACACTATGGATACGTTCCATAAAGCCGCAAATGCTTTGTAATGTCCCTCACAATAATATTCCCTATCTTCTCACCAAAATTCACCATACCTTTTCCTATCCAATCAAATCCTTACCTATCATCGACTAATCCAACTGCAGCGCCCTCTACAAACACCTATGCAATCAACACGTGCCTCTGCCGTCTTTAAAGCCAGCAGCACACGGTGCTTGTTTTCGTGCTGGATTGCTTGCTGGATGAAAATACTGAGTTCTGATTGTTACATTTCCGAAGATGGATGGAAATGCACTAATCAGAACGCAGTATTTTCATTCAGCAAGCAGTCCAGCACGAAAACAAGCACCGTGTGCCGCTGACTTTATTGTTAATATAATATCATTAGGCCTGTTCGTTTTGTCTGCACTGCTGAACTGCATTAAGTGCTGGTGCATTAAGTGAAAGTGAGACAAACGTAGGTTTTCTCATTTCAACTTGATGCACCACTTCAGCAGTGCAGACAAAACGAACAGGCCTATTACTATACGAAATTGTTTACTGAATTATCATCTATCTTTTTCTTTCTCTCTCTTCCTTCTACTTTCTTGGAGCGCTATTCTGTACATGTCTACCGACAATTGTCGGTATCGGTCGTTACCGACGAACGTCGGTTGCGTGACCGACAAGAACGATGCACACCTATTCTCTACATGGACACTACCGACAATCATCGGTGCAACCGACGGTTTTTAATCGTCGGTTGACGTCACAAATGGTCGAGAGACAGTCACGGACAAAAGTGAGAATACATCGTAATTCGACCAATCGCGTAACGAGTCTATGAGAAAGTCCGCGATTTTCAAGTTTTACAAACATAACCGTATTCATATGAGTTGTAGAAAAATAGAGAAGATACAAGAGAAAGCATCATGTCAGAGAGTAGAAGTAGGTATGTACATATATTTTTAATGCTATTCATATATATATATATATGTATATACATAATGTAATATTTACCGACACAGCAAAAAATATCCAAAGGACGTACGTAGGGACATCCTTAGAATCTCCTTACGATGTCCCCTAGACATCTGTGCTGTGTGGGTATACTAATAAATACTATTCGATAACCTAATAAGAGAATTATTGTACTATCAATAAACAGTAATATTTTTTGTAGTACTGTTAAAAAGCAGCGTTCTTCGCGTGCATCAACATTGCAAATTGAAGATTTGGTACCCTATATGGAAACGCATAGCCGTTTCACTGCCGGCCGGTTTAACGGAAATGAGGGGAAACTGCAACTGCAGATGCAGTGGGATGAACTGTGTAAAAGGCTAAATTCTCTACCCGGGCCAAAGCATAATTCTTCATTATAATTAAAACGTGGAGTTCCTGGCTGCTCATGTTTCAATGGAGTCATTAACCACGGCTCCAGTCCATACCCATCATCACCTGTGAAAATAACACTTCGATTTTATTTTACTTTAGATTCAGTTTACTTATTTTACATTTTCAATATGATGAATATATTTAATAAGCAGTTGTTTTAAATAATTATTTACAACCATTTTACATTTTACAAGTTTTTGAAGAAATATTTTACCTAGTATTTAATAAGAGAAAAATAATAGTATTACCGATAAGCCAAGTCTTGCGTCCTCCTTGCATACCATCGTTTCATGACACAACGAGCAGCACAATTTGCCCAAATATATGCATCATGTCGTGCCCCAGGATATCAAGCATTAATGTTTAGAATTTTTAAATCAGGGTCACAAATCTACAAAAAAATATCATATATACATAAAATTAAAATTGTTGTTATCCCAATTTTAACATTTATACTAACTATTTATTTAAATATACCGCTTGAACATTGAGACAGTGATCACCCCAGTGATTGACGTAGGCTTCTTCGTGAAGTTGCGGTGCCAGAATCGATACATAAGTGCAATCTATTGCACCGATACCACTTATAAACGGATGTTGTGCTGTGCGGAACTTTTCTCTTGCAGCTTGTCGATCCTCCGCTGTAATAGGAAATTTTACCCATGGTCATAGTAATAGGTCATTTATTCCATTTGTCACAGCTGCTACACAACGGCTTACAGTCGATTGACTGACAGCCAGGTTCCATTGTTCCCTAATGGCACTTTGGTAGCAGCCAACAGCATAAAATCTTAAAGCTGTTAATACCTATTAAACAATATTTGTTGAACATATAGAAATAATAGTAATAATTTCATATTAAATCACACACATAAAATATATGTGCATATACTTGATGCTGTACTGAAATTCCATATGGTCGTAATCGTTGTAACCTTGGTCTTAAGATCTCTGCTAATTCCAACACAGTGTCAGGTGGCAAGCGAAATAAATCAATGAAAACGTTATCGTGTAACTCGAATGGATCATTAGTATCACGATTAGTAGACTCTTCTTTCTATTTGATGTTGTAGCATTCTCACGCGATTCTCAAGGTGTAAAAGATCCCACATGAGGTATTCAGCCATACTAAATTCATATTAAATATTATTGGATTTAACAATTATATTATTATATTATTGGATATAACATATCGTCAGCAAAATTAGAAAACCTCCTAATTCTAATTTTTAACGAATTTGAGATTTTCATTTCATTCAACTTAATAAGATAAGTTGGATGAAATGAACCCAGCAAATACAATGTTGCATGTAACGTACATGTTAGTTGTAATTTCCTACTCAACAATGTAACTGTTATAACACATGTGTTATATAACAGTTATATTATTGAGTAGGAAATTACAACTAATATGTACGTTACATGTAACATTGTGTTTGCTGGGAATATTTCAATTTCATAAAAAATTGGAGTTAGGTTTTCTAATTTTGCCGACGATATAAATAAAACACTAGAGTAACGGTCCCAATTACTGCCAGTGTCCTAATTACTGCTATTTTCTTTAATTATAGTATTAAAATAAAAAATATGACAGCGTTATATATTTAAAATCTTGGTTTAATATTAAAATATTTTAAATATATCCCATTAAATCTACTAGGATATATTAGAACTATCCAGTTACAATGTTACATGTAACATTGTGTTTACTGGGTATAATGCTCATATTTTTTATTGTAATACTACAATTAAAGAAAATGGCAGTAATTGGAACACTGGCAGTAATTGATCGTTATCCTATAAGTATAGACAAATTTATTCTTTTCGACGTGTAAATGAGTTAAAAGAATTACGCAAAAAATGCGAAAGAAAAACTCTAATTAATATCACTTGTTAACCTTCAGTTCGTAGCGTTATTTTCGTCCTTAATATATTTTAGGATATATTTTTAACCTAAGTCATGAACAATAATAGATTGTGCATTCATTACTTAGGGTAAAAGGATAAGGTTTTGTACATATTATATACTATTCTAATACTATTTTTTATTTCCTGCTGCCGTGTAAAGACCGCAGTACGAATTGAAGGTTAACTCCACTGACTAAATTTTATGAGAATTTAATTAAATTTACTTACTTGCACATTTTTGCGTTACAATTTACAGCACACACACACTATTATATTTTATACCAACAGAAACGTAATAAACTAAACAAAAATTTTATAAATATGTGAAATCGCAATGTGCGCAGTATCATTACCTCAAATCGCGAATTCACTAACATAATCACATAAACCGACGATAATTTCGTCCGTGTGCGTCGGTCAAACGCTACCGATGGCCAAGTAAGATACAGACGAGGGAGGACAGCACCAGTCTATTCCGGGAGGAGCCACGGGAGAAAGACCGGTCCTAGGAGATCAGACTCGTCGGATGGAGAAGAGGGTAAAAGGAGACGCACAGAGAAAGACGAGGCTTTTTGCCTTTAGCTTTTTTAGCTTTAGCCTTTTGCCGATTAATGTCGAGACGAATAATAGAAATTAGAGTCAAGTCGAAGGAAGAGTCGTAGAGCGTTAAGCTTTTGTAAAGAGATATATTTGATATAAGCTGCGGTGTCGGTTACTATTGTATTATTGTTTATTTAAAATATACATACTTATATTCTTGTTCATAATAAGAAGAGTTCACATTAATCGCTCGGAACCTAAACATCCTGAACATCCCTCTCTTATAAAGGAAGAGGATTCAAGAAGAGGAGAGACAGAAAGATAATAGAATAGAGAAATAGAGGATCTCTCTTTTTTAAATCTTACAGCCGCAATTTTCTTTCAGAAGTGGGATACAGCTCATGCCAATTACGCGATTACAGTTTAAAGAACAGCAATTAAGAGTCGGAAAAATGAACAGGAATGTGCTGGATGGAATGACGCTGATGCAGCTGCAGGAGGAAGCAGTAAAATTCCGATTGCCGGTATCGAACGACCGTGAACGGATGATAGAACAAGTGATGTCCCATCTAGAGCGACACGGGCCGATGAGAGACCTTCTTGCACCAGAGGAGAGCTCACGAATGATAAAGGAGAGACAGGCTGCGGTGACCTCAGCCGAGGAACAAAGAATGGAGCAGCAGACGGAAGGGTCCTCACAGAATATAATCGGTCAAGTCACGGATAGTTTGGCTAAGATGCAGCGCTTAATGCAGGAACAGCAACAACAATTTATGCTGCAACAACAAAATCAGTTTGAACGGTTGCTTCTAGTGCTATCCAACAGGAGACCAGAAGCCGGTCTTCCGACTGAGAACCAAGGCGGAGGAAGATCGACGCAAAATTCTACACCATCGGGAAGTGACGGCGTGGTGACGGGTCAAAACCCCATAGAAATGCAACAATCGCAAATCTCGGTTTCTACCTTAGCGTCGCAGATTCCGGAGTTCGGTGGAACCGAAGAGGAGAACGCTAAAATCTGGATACAACGAGTCGACTGTGTAGCGGCTATATATGGAGCGACAGATGGTGTGACGCTGCTTGCAGCAACGGCGAGGCTGACGGGTGCAGCCAGGAAATGGTATGACGCACAATACGGACCGATGCTGCAAACATGGAGAAGGGTAAGAGAAGAACTGCTTAAAATTTTCGATCGAGAGATTCCCTTCTATAAAATTATAAATAAAATAGAGAGTCGAAAATGGAACGCGGTAAAAGAAACATTTGATCAGTACGCTCTGGATAAATTAGCGCTGATGCAGCGAACAGAATTATCTGTCCAAAATAAGATACAATTATTAATAAACGGAATAGCGGTGAGCGCGCTGAGAGCTACAGCCTTGTCATTGTCGGCGGAGACGATTGAAGACTTTTTGACCAAGATGAGACGAATCGCGGAGGGCGTGATCGAGTCAGAAAGGAAAGCGCCGATCGGGTCGAATATTGCACGTTCTAGAGAAATAAAATGCCGAAACTGTAGTAGAAAAGGACATCCCCACAAGGAATGCCGGAGTGAGCCGACGTGCTTCTACTGTAAAGAAAAAGGGCACAGGCAGTTCGAGTGTCCAGTCTTGAAGCGAAGGGAAGGAGCTGTGGTTCCAGTAAGGGCGCCAGCCTATGCAGGAGGACGTCGAGCGGCAGGAGATGATGCCCCGAGACATCCGGTTGCCGTGGTGCAGGAGCAGGAGGTGGCGCCGGAGCAGGAACAGGAACTGCGAGTCAGCGAGCCCTTTATACCGGTCGCAACTATAATGGGTAAGCGATGCCAGATTAAAGCCCTGATAGATACAGGCAGTCCAGTATCGTTTATTAACGAAAAAATATACAAAATGTACATACAGCCGACGATACCGACGTTAAAACCGGTCGGAACAAAATTATATAATTTAAACGCGCAGCCGTTAGCTATTTTAGGATCAACGCAAATACAGCTAAAACTCGAGCCAACAAAAAACTTAGAATATGATGTCGATCTCTTTGTGTTATCGAGACAATCGTTCCAAGGAGAGATAATATTAGGACGCGATTTTCTATACAAAGAAAGAATCTCTTTTGTCTTCAGACCGCGAAGTGAAAAAGTAGAGCGAGTTTGTCTGTTCGAACAATTGCCTTTGTGTATCGAGCAAGGCATAAATAAAACAGTTAACGATAGACTAGACGATATCAAAATAGATTATAATAAACAGACAAAAGAAAAGTTGCTAGATCTATTGGTGTCGATGAACAATAAAGAGATCGAGGCAATCGAAGACGGGCACGCGATACGTGTACCCTTGAAGGATAAGTCGATATACGCGTATGCCCCGCGTCGGTTTGCGTTCGCTGAGCGCGACGAGGTCAAAAATATTATTAACGATCTATTAGCACGGGACATTATAAAACCAAGCATATCGCCTTATTGTGCTAGGATTGTACCGGTGAAAAAGAGAAACGGTAGCATGCGGTTATGTGTCGATCTACGACCTTTAAATAGTCGTGTAGAAAAACAAAAATACACTTTCCCGCTAATCGAAGATTGCTTAGCAAAATTGGCGAATAAATCCATATTTACATTGTTAGATATAAAAGACGGTTTCCATCATATAAAAATCGATGAGCGCGACACAAAATACTTTGCTTTTGGCACACCAGATGGCCAGTATGAATATAAAAGATTACCCTTTGGCTATAGCGAAGCACCGGCCGAATTTCAAAAAAGGTTATTGCAGATCCTGAGACCGTTAATTAATGACGGAAAGATTATTGTATATATAGACGATATTTTGATCGCATCAGATAACATAGCCGAACACTTGGAAGTAATTGGAGAAGTGTTAATTATTTTAAAACAATATAAATTCGAGCTTAACTACGATAAGTGCTTATTTTTGCGAAAAGAAATCGAATTCTTGGGTTATATCGTGAAAGCGAACGGTATTACCTTGAATCAACGACATGTCGAGGCAATCACAAAGTTTAGAGAACCGCGATCAACGCATCAGGTACAACAGTTTTTAGGATTGACCGGGTACTTCCGACGATTTATAAAAGATTTCGCGTTAAAAGCTAGGCCTCTACAAGACCTACTAAAGAAAGGCGCAGTATTTGACTTCAGTCCGCATTGTCGGGAAGCCTTTAATACTTTAAGAACAGAGCTTACATCGTTTCCCACTCTGCGTTTGTATGATCCAGCGGCAGAAACGGAGATCCATACCGATGCTTGCATCCAAGGGCTGGGCGCGATATTATTACAGCGACAAAAAGACGGGGTGTGGGCACCCATTGCTTTTTACAGCAAGACGACGAATCAGGCTGAAGCCAAGTATCATAGCTTCGAGCTTGAAATGTTAGCGGTGGTTAAAGCGGTTGAACGGTTCCACGTTTACGTATACGGAAAAAGTTTCACCGTAGTCACCGATTGTAATGCCTTGGTATATGCTGTAAACAAAGCCAACTTAAATCCACGAATAGCACGATGGACATTAGCTCTACAAAATTATAATTTTAAATTGACTCACCGGTCGGGTAAAAAGATGACTCACGTAGATGCCTTGAGTCGAAATGCAGGGTATGTAGATGAAATGCCATTAGAAAGAGAGCTGGAGTTTAGGCAGCTGGCCGATCCCCAGCTTCAAGCGATTTGTAAACGGTTAGAATTCGAGGATGATCCCAAGTTCGCGTTGGTAGACGGATTGTTGTATAAGAAACAGGATGAGAAACTAAAATTCGTGATACCACAGACGATGACGGTAAATGTGATTAGGATCTATCATGATCAAATGGGACACTGCGGAATCGAAAAGACGGTGCAGGGAATTACTCAGAGTTATTGGTTCCCATCGCTCAGAAAAACAGTAAAAGATCATATAGAAAATTGTATCACTTGTCTAATGACGAATAACTCACCACGAAATAAAGAAGGGGAACTGCATGTAGATACAGTATCGCGGAATCCAATGGAAGTCTTGCACATTGACCACTTCGGGCCGTTAGCGTCGACAAAGCAGGGTAATAAACATATTTTAGTAGTAGTAGATGCGTTCACGAGGTTTACGTGGCTTTTTCCCACTCGATCCACCGGATCGAAAGAAGTGATCGAACGGCTACGTTCTATTTTTTGTACATTCGGGAATCCAAACGAAGTAGTCAGCGATCGAGGAACGGCTTTTACATCGACCGAGTTTAAAGAATTTATTGACGAACAGCGGATTAAGCATCGCAAAGTAGCAGTAGCATCGCCATGGGCGAATGGCATGGTTGAGCGTACGAACCGTTTCCTGAAAGCCGTGTTAACAAAAAGTAGTAGTATATCCGATGAATGGGAAGAAGAACTAAGACACGCGCAATACGTCATCAACAACACGTACCAAGCGTCCATTAAGTGTTCCCCATCCAAGTCACTGTTAGGCTACGACAAACGTAGTCACGTGGACGCGGCGCTCGTACAATTTACACGTGAATGGGTGAATGAAATGACCAACGTCAATGACGAACGAAACGAAGCGCGAATGCTGGCACAACAAGCCAACGAAGTCGTAAAAGCGTACAATAAGAGATACTACGATAAACGACACAGAAAGCCGTCGCGGTACAAGATAGGAGATTTAGTCGTAATTAGAGACAGTCGTAGGAAAATCGGACAAAGTTCAAAGCTGAACGCAAATTATAAAGGACCTTATCGAATAGCTAAAGTATTAGGTTACAACCGCTATGTCGTACGAGATATACCTGGTTTCAATCACCGAGCACGACCTTTAGATACTATTCTATCAGTAGATAAGATTAAACCGTGGATTAAAATTTCGGACGAAAATTCACTGTTACCGAAGGAACGAGCGAGCGAAGTAAACGTAGGATAACCCGTAGATTAAGGAACTCGCGAGCGATGTAGGCGAAGAAGGGCCGACGCAAAGTTAGCCGCCCTTATTTAAGCTTGGTCATTACCAGCCGCGGGACGCCGCTGAAGCAGGATGGCCGAGTTGTAAGATACAGACGAGGGAGGACAGCACCAGTCTATTCCGGGAGGAGCCACGGGAGAAAGACCGGTCCTAGGAGATCAGACTCGTCGGATGGAGAAGAGGGTAAAAGGAGACGCACAGAGAAAGACGGGGCTTTTTGCCTTTGGCTTTTTTAGCTTTAGCCTTTTGCCGATTAATGTCGAGACGAATAATAGAAATTAGAGTCAAGTCGAAGGAAGAGTCGTAGAGCGTTAAGCTTTTGTAAAGAGATATATTTGATATAAGCTGCGGTGTCGGTTACTATTGTATTATTGTTTATTTAAAATATACATACTTATATTCTTGTTCATAATAAGAAGAGTTCACATTAATCGCTCGGAACCTAAACATCCTGAACATCCCTCTCTTATAAAGGAAGAGGATTCAAGAAGAGGAGAGACAGAAAGATAATAGAATAGAGAAATAGAGGATCTCTCTTTTTTAAATCTTACACAAGGGACCCCTCGGTAGGATTATCGTTTACGACCGATACTTGTCGTTCATTTTTAACGACGCGCGTCGGTGAGGAGCTGTACAGAATAGCTCTAACCGACAAATGTCGGTAGGGAGCGTTAACGACACCGACAATTGTCAGTACACGTGTACAGAATAGCGCTCCAGAACTCATTATTTTCATCTAGCAAGCAATCCAGGGCCTCAATTCTGTACACGCTTACCGACAACTATCGATGTCGTTAACTGTATTGCGCAGCTTTTGTATATCGTAGAAAATCTGCGCAACTCCGTTAACGATATCGATAATTGTCGGTAAGCGTGTACAGAATTGAGGCCCTGGATTGCTTGCTAGATGAAAATAATGAGTTCTGGAGCGCTATTCTGTACACGTGTACTGACAATTGTCGGTATCGTTAACGCTCCCTACCGACATTTGTCGGTTAGAGCTATTCTGTACAGCTCCTCACCGACGCGCGTCGTTAAAAATGAACGACAAGTATCGGTCGTAAACGATAATCCTACCGAGGGGTCCCTTGGCCATCGGTAGCGTTTGACCGACGCACACGGACGAAATTATCGTCGGTTTATGTGATTATGTTAGTGAATTCGCGATTTGAGGTAATGATACTGCGCACATTGCGATTTCACATATTTATAAAATTTTTGTTTAGTTTATTACGTTTCTGTTGGTATAAAATATAATAGTGTGTGTGTGCTGTAAATTGTAACGCAAAAATGTGCAAGTAAGTAAATTTAATTAAATTCTCATAAAATTTAGTCAGTGGAGTTAACCTTCAATTCGTACTGCGGTCTTTACACGGCAGCAGGAAATAAAAAATAGTATTAGAATAGTATATAATATGTACAAAACCTTATCCTTTTACCCTAAGTAATGAATGCACAATCTATTATTGTTCATGACTTAGGTTAAAAATATATCCTAAAATATATTAAGGACGAAAATAATGCTACGAACTGAAGGTTAACAAGTGATATTAATTAGAGTTTTTCTTTCGCATTTTTTGCGTAATTCTTTTAACTCATTTACACGTCGAAAAGAATAAATTTGTCTATACTTATAGGATAACGATCAATTACTGCCAGTGTTCCAATTACTGCCATTTTCTTTAATTGTAGTATTACAATAAAAAATATGAGCATTATACTGTAAGATTTAAAAAGAGAGATCCTCTATTTCTCTGTTCTATTATCTTTCTGTCTCTCTTCTTCTTGATCCTCTTCCTTTGTGAGAGGGGGATGTTCAGGATGTTAAGGTTCCGAGCGATTAATTTGTACTCTTCTTATTATAAACAAGAATATCAGTATGTATATTTTAAATAAACAATAATACAATAGTATCCGACACCGCAACTTATATCAAATATATCTCTTTACAAAAGCTTAACGCTCTACGACTCTTTCTTCGACTTGACTCTAATTTCTATTATTCGTCTCGACATTGATCGGCAAAAGCTAAAGGCTAAAGAGCTAACGGCAAAAAGCTAAAAAGCCCCGTCTTCCTCCGTGCGTCTCCTTTTATCCTTTTCTCCATCCGTCGAGTCTGATCTCTCTCAGGACCGGTCTTTCTCCCGTGGCTCCGCCCGGAATAGACTGGTGCTGTCCTCCCTCGTCTGTATCTTACAACTCGGCCATCCTGCTTCAGCTGCGTCCCGCGGCTGGTGCTGACAAGCTTATATAAGGGCGGCTGACTTTGCGTCGGCCCTTCTTCGCCTACGTCGCTCGCGAGTTCCTTAATCTACGAGTTATTCTACGTTTACTTCGCTCGCTCGTTCATTCGGTAACAGTGAATTTTCATCCGAAATTTTTATCCACGGTTTAATCTTGTCTACAGATAGAATAGTATCTAAAGGTCGTGCTCGGTGATTGAAACCAGGTATATCTCGTACGACATAACGGTTGTATCCTAATACTTTAGCTATTCGATAAGGTCCTTTATAACTTGCGTGCAGCTTGGAACTTTGTCCGATTTTCCTACGACTGTCTCTAATTACGACTAAATCTCCTATCTTGTATCGCGACGGCTTTCTGTGTCGTTTATCATAGTATCTCTTATTGTACGCTTTGACGACTTCGTTGGCTTGTTGTGCCAGCATTCGCGCTTCGTTTCGTTCGTCATTGACGTCGGTCATTTCTTTCGCCCATTCACGTGTAAATTGTACGAGCGCCGCGTCCACGTGACTACGTTTGTCGTAACCTAACAGTGACTTGGATGGGGAACACTTAATGGACGCATGGTACGTGTTGTTGATGACGTATTGCGCGTGTCTTAGTTCTTCTTCCCATTCTTCGGATATACTACTACTTTTTGTTAACACGGCTTTCAGGAAACGGTTCGTGCGTTCAACCATGCCATTCGCCCATGGCGATGCTACTGCTACTTTACGATGCTTAATACGCTGTTCGTCAATAAATTCTTTAAACTCGGTTGATGTAAAAGCCGTTCCTCGATCGCTGACTACTTCGATTGGATTCCCGAATGTACAAAAAATAGAACGTAGGCGTTCGATCACTTCTTTCGATCCGGTGGATCGAGTGGGAAAAAGCCACGTGAATCTTGTGAACGCATCTACTACTACTAAAATATGTTTATTACCCTGCTTTGTCGACGCTAACGGCCCGAAGTGGTCAATGTGCAAGACTTCCATTGGATTCCGCGATACTGTTTCTACATGCAGTTCCCCTTCTTTATTACGTGGTGAGTTATTCGTCATTAGGCAAGTGATACAATTCTCTATATGATCTTTTACTGTTTTTCTTAGCGATGGGAACCAATAATTCTGAGTAATTCCCTGCACTGTCTTTTCGATTCCGCAGTGTCCCATTTGATCATGATAGATCCTAATCACATTTACCGTCATCGTCTGTGGTATCACGAATTTTAGTCTTTCATCCTGTTTCCTATACAACAATCCGTCTACCAACGCGAACTTGGGATCATCCTCGAACTCTAACCGTCTACAAATCGTTTGAAGCTGGGGATCGGCCAGCTGTCTAAACTCTAGCTCTCTTTCTAATGGTATTTCATCTACATACCCTGCATTTCGACTCAAGGCATCTACGTGAGCCATCTTTTTACCCGACCGGTGAGTCAATTTAAAATTATAATTTTGTAAAGCTAATGTCCACCGTGCTATTCGTGGATTTAAGTTAGCTTTGTTTACAGCATATACCAAGGCATTACAATCGGTGACTACAGTGAAACTTTTTCCGTATACATAAACATGGAACCGTTCAACCGCTCTAACCACCGCTAACATTTCAAGCTCGAAACTATGATACTTGGCCTCAGCCTGATTCGTCGTCTTGCTGTAAAAAGCAATGGGTGCCCACACCCCGTCTTTTTGTCGCTGTAATAATATCGCGCCCAGCCCTTGGATGCAAGCATCGGTATGGATCTCCGTTTCCGCCGCTGGATCATACAAACGCAGAGTGGGAAACGATGTAAGCTCTGTTCTTAAAGTATTAAAGGCTTCCCGACAAGGTGAACTGAAATCAAATACTGCGCCTTTCTTTAGTAGGTCTTGTAGAGGCCTAGCTTTTAACGCGAAATCTTTTATAAATCGTCGGAAGTACCCGGTTAATCCTAAAAACTGTTGTACCTGATGCGTTGATCGCGGTTCTCTAAACCTTGTGATTGCCTCGACATGTCGTTGATTCAAGGTAATACCGTTCGCTTTCACAATGTAACCCAAAAATTCGATTTCTTTTCGCAAAAATAAGCACTTATCGTGGTTAAGCTCGAATTTATATTGTTTTAAAATAATTAACACTTCTCCAATTACTTCCAAGTGTTCGGCTATGTTATCGGATGCGATCAAAATATCGTCTACATATACAATAATCTTTCCGTCATTAATTAACGGTCTCAGGATCTGCAATAACCTTTTTTGAAATTCGGCCGGTGCTTCGCTATAGCCAAAGGGTAATCTTTTATATTCATACTGGCCATCTGGTGTGCCAAAAGCAAAGTATTTTGTGTCGCGCTCATCGATTTTTATATGATGGAAACCGTCTTTTATATCCAACAATGTAAATATGGATTTATTCGCCAACCTTGCTAAGCAATCTTCGATTAGCGTATTATAGAAAGTGTATTTTTGTTTTTCTACACGACTATTTAAAGGTCGTAGATCGACACATAACCGCATGCTACCGTTTCTCTTTTTCACCGGTACAATCCTAGCACAATAAGGCGATATGCTTGGTTTTATAATGTCCCGCGCTAATAGATCGTTAATAATATTTTTGATTTCGTCGCGCTCAGCGAACGCAAACCGACGCGGGGCATACGCGTATATCGACTTATCTTTCAAGGGTACACGTATCGCGTGCCCGTCGTCGATTGCCTCGATCTCTTTATTGTTCATCGATACCAATAGATCTAACAACATTTCTTTTGTCTGCCTATTATAATCTATTTTGATATCGTCTAGTCTATCGTTAACTGTTTTATTTATGCCTTCCTCGATACACAAAGGCAATTGTTCGAACAGACAAACTCGCTCTACTTTTTCACTTCGCGGTCTGAAGACAAAAGAGATTCTTTCTTTATATAGAAAATCGCGTCCTAATATTATTTCTCCTTGGAAAGATTGTCTCGATAACACAAAGAGATCGACATTATATTGTAAGTTTTTTGTCGGCTGGAGTTTTAGCTGTACTTGCGTTGATCCTAAAATAGCTAACGGCTGCGCGTTTAAATTATATAATTTTGTTCCGACCGGTTTTAACGTCGGTATCGTCGGCTGTATGTACATTTTGTATAATTTTTCGTTAATAAACGATACTGGACTGCCTGTATCTATCAGGGCTTTAATCTGGCATCGCTTACCCATTATAGTTGCGACCGGTATAAAGGGCTCGCTCACTCGCAGTTCCTGTTCCTGCTCCGGCGCTACCTCCGGCTCCTGCACCACGGCAACCGGATGTCTCGGGGCATCATCTCCTGCCGCTCGACGTCCTCCTGTATAGGCTGGCGCCCTTGCTGGAACAACCGCTCCTTCTCTTCGCTTCAAGACTGGACACTCGTACTGCCGGTGCCCTTTTTCTTTACAGTAGAAGCACGTCGGCTCACTCCGACATTCCTTGTGGGGATGTCCTTTTCTACTACAGTTTCGGCATTTTATTTCTCTAGAACGTGCAATATTCGACCCGATCGGCGCTTTCCTTTCTGACTCGATCACGCCCTCCGCGATTCGTCTCATCTTGGTCAAAAAGTCTTCAATCGTCTCCGCCGACAATGACAAGGCTGTAGCTCTCAGCGCGCTCACCGCTATTCCGTTTATTAATAATTGTATCTTATTTTGGACAGATAATTCTGTTCGCTGCATCAGCGCTAATTTATCCAGAGCGTACTGATCAAATGTTTCTTTTACCGCGTTCCATTTTCGACTCTCTATTTTATTTATAATTTTATAGAAGGGAATCTCTCGATCGAAAATTTTAAGCAGTTCTTCTCTTACCCTTCTCCATGTTTGCAGCATCGGTCCGTATTGTGCGTCATACCATTTCCTGGCTGCACCCGTCAGCCTCGCCGTTGCTGCAAGCAGCGTCACACCATCTGTCGCTCCATATATAGCCGCTACACAGTCGACTCGTTGTATCCAGATTTTAGCGTTCTCCTCTTCGGTTCCACCGAACTCCGGAATCTGCGACGCTAAGGTAGAAACCGAGATTTGCGATTGTTGCATTTCTATGGGGTTTTAACCCGTCACCACGCCGTCACTTCCCGACGGTGTAGAATTTTTCGTCGATCTTCCTCCGCCTTGGTGCTCAGTCGGAAGACCGGCTTCTGGTCTCCTGTTGGATAGCACTAGAAGCAACCGTTCAAACTGATTTTGTTGTTGCAGCATAAATTGTTGTTGCTGTTCCTGCATTAAGCGCTGCATTTTGGCCAAACTGTCCGTGACTTGACCGATCATACTCTGTGAGGACCCTTCCGTCTGCTGCTCCATTCTTTGTTCCTCGGCTGAGGTCACCGCAGCCTGTCGGTCTTTTACCATTCGTGAGCTTTCCTCTGGTGCAAGAAGGTCTCTCATCGGCCCGTGTCGCTCTAGATGGGACATCACTTGTTCTATCATCCGTTCACGGTCGTTCGATACCGGCAATCGGAATTTTACTGCTTCCTCCTGCAGCTGCTTCAGTGTCATTCCATCCAGCACATTCCTGTTCATTTTTTCGACTCTTAATTGCTGTTCTTTAAACTGCAACCGTGTAATTGGCATGAGCTGTATCCCACTTCTGAAAGAAAATTGTGCGCTGTAAGATTTAAAAAGAGAGATCCTCTATTTCTCTGTTCTATTATCTTTCTGTCTCTCTTCTTCTTGATCCTCTTCCTTTGTGAGAGGGGGATGTTCAGGATGTTAAGGTTCCGAGCGATTAATTTGTACTCTTCTTATTATGAACAAGAATATCAGTATGTATATTTTAAATAAACAATAATACAATAGTATCCGACACCGCAACTTATATCAAATATATCTCTTTACAAAAGCTTAACGCTCTACGACTCTTTCTTCGACTTGACTCTAATTTCTATTATTTGTCTCGACATTGATCGGCAAAAGCTAAAGGCTAAAGAGCTAACGGCAAAAAGCTAAAAAGCTAAAAAGCCCCGTCTTCCTCCGTGCGTCTCCTTTTATCCTTTTCTCCATCCGTCGAGTCTGATCTCTCTCAGGACCGGTCTTTCTCCGGCCGGCAGTGAAATGGCTATGCTTTTCCATATAGGATACCAAATCTTCAATTTGCAATGTTGAAGCACGCGAAGATCGTTGCTTTTTAACAGTACTACAAAAAATATTACTGTTTATTGATAGTACAATTCTCTTATTAAGTTATCGAATAATATTTATTAGTATACCCACACAGCACAGATGTTTAGGGGACGTCGTAAGGAGATTCTAAGGATGTCCCTATATCCTACGTACATCCTTTGGATATTTTGTGCTGTGTAGGTAAATATTACATTATGTGTATATATATATAATAATGTAATATTTACCCACAGTATATATATATATATATATATATATATATATATATATATGAATAGCATTAAAAATATATATACATACCTACTTCTACTCTCTGACATGATGCTTTCTCTTGTATCTTCTCTATTTTTCTACACAACTCTATGAATACGGTTATGTTTGTAAAACTTGAAAATCGCGGACTTTCTCATAGACTCGTTACGCGATTGGTCGAATTACGATGTATTCTCACTTTTGTCCGTGACTGTCTCTCGACCATTTGTGACGTCAACCAACGATTGAAATTCGTCGGTTGCACCGATGATTGTCGGTAGTGTCCATGTAGAGAATAGGTGTGCATCATTCTTGTCGGTCACGCAACCGACGTTCGTCGGTAACGACCGATACCGACAATTGTCGGTAGACATGTACAGAATAGCGCTCCTGTGCTGCGATTCTGTAACTCGTTATTGGAGTTAACGACAGTTTCGTTATCGTTGCGCAGCTTTTCTACGGTATACAAAAGCTGCGCAACGATAACGAAACTGTCGTTAACTCCAATAACGAGTTACAGAATCGCGGTACTGATATGTGTATTTACATCCATCTTTGAAAATGTACCAATCAGAATGCAGTATTTTCATCCAGCAAGCAATCTATTACGAAAACAAACACCGTGTGCCGTTGGCTTAACATAGGATTGAAGCAGACGACATAGTAAATATACTGGGTGATCCGAAATTCCCGCATTCGGAGTACAGGACGTGATACTTTATGCTAAAACAAACAACTTTTTCTTTTAGTAAAATTGCGTCCGACAAGTAGATTTTGCAAGAGAACGTATTAAAGTTAATGAATAAGCGCTCTTGTCTATGTACTACATGGGCTGAAAAGTCTTTGGCTTAACAATGAAAAAACGATTTTTTTAATGAAAAAAGTGTTTTATTCCTCGATATAATCTCCATTTAGAGTAATGTACTTAGTGTAACGGTCCGCTAATATTTCGATGCCGGTCTTATAGTGCTCGGTGTCAAGTCCCTCAAAATAGGCATTTGTTTCCAACTTGACCTCCTCATTCGAGTAAAATCTTTTACCAGCGAGCCACTGCTTCAGTCGGGGAAAAAGGAAATAGTCGCTGGGGGCCAGGTCTGGAGAATACGGGGGATGCGGGACCAATTCATAGCGCAATTTCTTTAATTTATCGGTCGTATCGCGAGCCGAGTGAGCTGGAGCATTGTCTTGGTGAAACAAAATTTTTTTCTTTGCCAAATGTGGCCGTTTGACCTTGACCTCGTCGTCCAATCGATCCAGTAATGTACAGTAATATTCTTTATTGATAGTTTTACCATGTTCAAGATAATCAATGAATATTATGTTATGCGCATCCCAAAAAATACTGGCCAAAACCTTGCCGGCTGATTGTTGTGTCTTCAGGCGCTTCGGACGGCTTTCACCAGGCAATAACCACCCCGCTGACTGCCGATTGGACTCCGGTGTGTAGTGATGGATCCATGTTTCATCCATTGTGACAAATCGACGCAAAAACTCCTTCTTATTACGGTTAAACAGAGCCAGATTTTGCTTTGAAAGTCGAACACGTTCCGCTTTTTGCTCAATTGTCAAAAAACGCGGCACCCAACGCGTGCAAAGCTTTTTCATGTGTAAATATTCATGAATAATATGACCAACGTGTTCCTTTGAGATGCCTATGATGTTAGCTAGCTCACTCAATTTCAATTTGCGGTCACGCAACACGATTTCACTGATTTTCTGGATGTTTTCTGGAGTAACTGCCTCATTTGGCCTTCCTGAACATGGTGCATCATTTGTGCTCGTACGGTTACGACGAAACTCAGCAAACCAATATTTGATGGTTGAATTCGGTGGGGTAGATGTGCCGTAACATTTATCAAGCCATGCCTTTGCTTCAACAGTGTTTTTTCCCATCAGGAAGCAATGTTTAATCAAAACACGAAATTCACTTTTTTCCATAGTAAAGATAAATTCAGAGGTAACGTCACTTCGAAAGCTATAACTTGTACACGAGTCAACGAAATATCATGAAATTTTTACAGCATCTAAGTTAAGGTTGGTACTCTATAGGAAATATAAGGATTTTTAGTTTGTGGCGCCATCTATATGTCAGGCCAAAGACTTTTCAGCCCATGTAGTAGCGCTCAGGGCCGGCACGCGCGCCTCACTCGCGTGTACCTACCTAGACAGCATCGGACATCCAATGGATGAACGTTTCACGTCCAATTATATTGGGAAGACTTACAACCATAATTTGAGCTAATAACAGCGGTATCTTAAAACGCAATTCATCTTTATTACGTAATATAGATTACGTAAAATGAAGAACCTAAATTGAATTTTACTTTCATTTCCCTGGCTTTCAAAATAATAAATGCAAATCATTGAATATATTGTGCAGGTTATGTAAATTATTATATAGAGAAACATGAACACAGCTATTGAAATTATGAAAGAGCCAAACGAACTGCAGAGCCTCTTAGCCCCTTAAGCCTCGCTGAATCGACATTTGTTGCAAATTCAAAATTGAATATCTCGACACCTAAATATCCTAGCAGCAAATTTCAAAAACGGTTTGAAAGCTTTGAAACCGTACTTTTCGAAAGATCTATCGAAATTGTGCGCAACGATATTTTTTCAAAATGGCGGGTGATAAAAAGGAGAACATGAAAAGTTGCTAAAAAAAGGTTCGAGCGTGCGACGGCGCATGGAGCAAAGTAAGTGTCGTAGCTCAATGGGACGAAAAGTACCTAAATGTATAGAATGTTTTCTTTAAAATACTTCGTTATAGAGCTTGA